TTCTTCATGTATGATGTTCTTGAAGTTATACCACAACTATGCTGGGTTTTGGTAATTAGTTTCCTTTTTTTTTTTCTTTTTATAAGTTTTTATTGTGAATTGAGAGAAAGTTTATAGGGAAGATCATCAGATCATCAGTTCTACATTGAACAAATCATACATTTTGTTTTATTGTTGTTGTTAAGTGCCGTTGAGTCGATTCCGACCTATAGCAACCCTGTATAGGGTTCCCAAGGAGCATCTGGTGAGCTTGAACCACCGAACTTGTAGTTCAAACAGCTTTGCAGTCTGGCACATTGCTTATAATCCCCTCCATGTACCATCAGTTAACAGTATTTCTCTCTATTCATTTTAGCTTTAAAATTTTTTTAAAACACTTACGCATATATAATAATTTACACCCCAAAGGGCACATTCTGCAAGTTTGCCTCCTGACTGCTAGCTCTCAGTCCCTCTCTTTCCATGAATCTAGAGTCCTCAGCTGCTCCCTCTCTCCATGTTCCCATCTCTGCCTCCATCTCTGATGTCACTGCTTCTCTAGATAAGGTCATACACTGTTTGTTCTCTTTTCCCTTGATGGTCCTAGGGTCCTCTGTTTCTGGACTGTAAGATTAACTACTCCCCCATTTTTGTTACAAAACTTCTACCTTTACAATTGGCTCAGTTGCAATTAGTCATGATAGCAATTACTCACTATTGAATCATAAGAATCTTATCCCCATGTCTTTTTACCAGACCCATCTAGACAAGATGAAAACTATTGAGTGAGGACTCAATCTTCCCCCACACACTCTTAAACTAAACTCCCTCTTGAAACCTTGTAAGCCAGTCACTTCAAGCCTTTATCACCCCCTCATTTTAGGTAGCCAATGTCTAAGTTGCCCTCCCTATCTAACCTGTATACAGAGGGGATAGCATTGATCTTTGATGTGAAGACTCTTTCCCTCTCTTTGGTATTTTGAGCTATTACCTCCATGATTATAGGTCAAGTTCATCGAGGCTAGGTCAAATGGCTACTATCTGTAAGTTTGGCTGTTCTTGTGCATCTCCCCTCATTTCATATCAGCTGGATGCTTCACTCTCAGCTCTAGCCCTCTGTGGCTATGTCCTTGTCCATGGGCTCAGGTGTCCCCAGGTCTCACCACACTGACTAACCAGCCCTTCCTCATCTCTCTCTCATTTCCAGGTCAATGGGAGTCTATGGACCATGGCTGAACTCAGACCATTTCTTCATTGCTGCCTTTCCTCCTCTTCCACTCACCAGTATACCAATATGTTCACCAGCAAGCTTACATGCATGCTTATGTGTTTATTTTGAGTTTCAATCTTAGAGGGGGATTTGTTTGATTGCTTGCCTTGATGACTTCCCGGCAAACAACTTGCTTATTCTTTGTAGTAGCCAATCATACGGCCATTTTTTTTTTTTTTTGTTTTTTTTCCTGATGATCTTTTTTTTTGAAGGTGTATCTTCTCTCACTCTAGCTGTTCCAGGCTAGTCTGCTTGTCCTTTCTGGTGGTAATGTCCCACCTCAGATGATAATTAGTTTCTAATGGATCAAATCTGTTCTTTAGATGGCATCTAAATTCAGGTGGTATATATTCAAGGTCATATTTTTGCTCTGGTGGGCTTATTTTAAGTTTGTAGCCTCAATTAAGCAATTGATAGCCTGATCTACAGTTGGCCTCTGGCATTTGTTTGGCTGATGATATTGAACTCCATCATCTCTTCCCAAAGATTTAGTCAGTTTTATTCCTGTGTATTCCATCAGGTGATATCCATGTGTAGAGTCACTGTTTATGTTATTGTGCAAAAGTATTTGCAATGAGTAAGTAGTTCGTCTTGCACAATTCTCTCAAGTGATCCCCAACTTCATTTCTATCAGCAAGGCCATGTTTTCCAACTACTGATCCTCTTCCTCTTTCTTTTCAACTTTTGCATTCCAATCACCAGCAATTATCAATATATTTTGATTTCAGACTGAAGACGTGGTTCAATACAACTTCCTCATTACTGGTTTTAGTGATTGGTGCATGAATTTGTATGTGTATGGATATTATCCTATTACATACAGCATTTCAGTTCAAGATAAATCTTCAAATGTTTTTTTTTGGACAATGAATGTGATTCAAAGTGGCCAATACTAGTCCATTTCAGTTCACTAATGCTTACGGTGTCTATCTTAATGCAATCCATTTCATTTTTTAATAATTCCTGTTTTCAGAGGGATCCCGATGAGTGATATCAATGCTGATGTCAGACAGATCTTGGCTGAAAACAGAGAATACCAGAATGATGTTTACTTGGGTTTTATTTACTCTGAAAAGGCATTGAGCTCTGTTGATCATAAAAAACTATGAACAACTTTCTGAAAAATGAGAATACCAAAATACTTAATTGTGCTCATGTGGAACCTGTATATAGATTAAGAGACAGCTATTTGATCAGAACTAAAGGTGCTGTTGCATAGTTGAAATCAAGAAAGATGTTGTCTAAGGTGTTTTATCCACTCACCATGCTTATTAAGTCTGTATACTGAGCAAATAATCTCAGAAGCTGGACTTTATTAAGAAGAATGCAGTATCAGGATTGGAGGGAGACTCAGTAACAATTGCTTGCTTAAAGCTAAGAGGCCTTGAAGACCTTACTGATGAAGATTACATGAAGATTACTGATGAAGTGTACATGAAGATTACTGATGAAGATTACATTGCTTTAACTATGGATTACATTTTAGTGCAAAGAAAACAAAAATCCTCACAACTGGACCCATACAAAAATGAAAAAAGATTGACGCTGTCAAGGATTTCATTTTATTTGGAGCCACAACCAATGTCCATGGAAGGTATCAGTCATTGGGCAAATCTGCTTCAAAAGCCTGGATTAAGATATGTGTGACCAAGCTATGGTATTTTCAATTGCTTCATATGCATGTGAGGAAGACCAGAGAAAAAAATCAATGGATTTGAACCATGGTGTTGGCAAAAAATATTGTAATTACCATGGATCACCAGAAGAACAAATTAATCTGTCTTGGAGGAAGTACAGCCAAATGCACCTTAGAAGAGAGGATAGAGAGGCTTTGTTTCTTATACAGAGACCAGTCTCTGGTGAAGGACATCATGCTTGGTAAAGTAGAAGTTCAACAATAAAGAGGAATACTGTTAGTGAGATGGATTTATATAGTGGCTGAAACAATGAGCTAAAATATAACAATTGTGAGGATGATGGAAGAGTGGTCAGTGTTTCTTTTGTCCGGTGGGTCGCAATGAGTTGAAACCTTGGAACTGACTGGACAGTATCTCACAACAACATTCATAAGGAATATTAGCCTGTGGTTTTCTTTTCTTGTTATATTTTTACCTAGCTTTGATGTCAAAGTTATTCTGGCCTCATAGGAAGATTTAGGAAATACACTCCTATATTTAGTATTGCTTACATTATTTTTGAAAGATTTTAAGAAGGATTCATGTTAACTCTTCTTTAAATGCTTGGTAGAATTCACTAGTGAAGTCATATGAACCTTGTTCTTTTCTTTGTTGGGAGTTTTTCTTTTCTTTTTTTATTATTACTGATATAATCTTTTCACTTGTTCAGATTTTGCGTGTTTTCTTGAATCAGTTTTGGTAGTTTGTTTCTGGAAATTTGTTTATTTTATCTAGGTTAATTAATTTGTTGTTGTATGTTATGTTCTTGTATAATATTTTTGTTTCTTCAGGGACAGAAATGTCTACATTTTCATATATAATTTTAGTTATTTGTATCTTCTCTTTTTTTTTTTTTTCCTTTATCAGTCTATTTAGAGATTTGTCAATTCTGTTGACATTTCAAAAGGCAATTTTTTTTTTATGTCATTGATTCTGTTGTCTCCTTATTCCCTATTTCATTCTTCTCTACTGTAATATATATTATTTTCTTTTTCTGCTACTTTTGGGTTAAGTTATCTCTTCTTTTTCTAGATTCTTGTGGTGTAAAGTTAGGTAATTGACTTGATTTCTTTTTTAATATATACATTTACTACTGTCAATTTCCTACATTGGACATTATGTACAAAACATTTTGGCACGTACATATGTATTTATATATACAACATAACAACAACTATATGTTGTTGTTGTTAAGTGCCATTGAGTCGATCCCAACCCATAGCAACCCTGTGTAGGGTTTCTGAAGAGCAGCTGGTGAGCTTGAACTGCCAACCTTGCAGTTCAAATGGCTTTGCAGTGTGGCACATTAACCCACAGCACCACACCAGGACTCCACAACAACTATATATATATGTATATATATAATTGTTAATTTGTTAATGTTGTATATATGTATTGTTGTTGTTAAATGCCATGGAGTTGGTTCTAACTCATAGCGACCCTGGATAGATAGGGTTTCTGAGGAACGACTGGTGTGTTTGAACTGCTGACCTTGTGATTAGCAATTGAGTGCTTATCCTACAGTGTCACGCCAGCAATCCAATTAGTTTATAGTCTTGTTTAAGTTGTCTATTTCCATATTAATATTCTGTTTGTATGTTCTATCCTATTCAATGTTGCATATTGAAGTCTGGTGCTGCAGGTTAATGCTCTTGACTGCAAGGTTGGCTTGAACTGCAAGGTCAGCAGTTCAAACTCATCTGCTGCTCCTTGGAAACCTTATACAGGGTTGCTATGAGTTGGAACCAACTTTACATGCTGTCTAATCAATATCATAGTGACCCTGTGTGGGCTTTCCAAGGAGCTTCTGGTGGGTTTGAACTGCCGACCTTTTGGTTCCCAGTCCAGTGCTGATCATACATACTGTTTATTTTTCCCTTCATTTTAAACATTTTTTAATGTTTTCTTTTGAGATGCTTGTTTATGATTTTATATTCCTGACGGATTGACTTTTTCAATATATAATGTTCTAATTGTTGTTGTTAAGTGCCATCGAGTCAGTATCTTAGTGAGAACTGTTTTTAAGTGGATTTTGTGAAATTACATCAAAATATATTCTCTGAGTTTCCTCATAGATCACTGTTGGAGACATTGGAACACTTTTTAAGATTCGTATTGGTCATACCAACTCTGGACCCTCTCCTGCCTGGCACTGTAAAGAGGTAAGGGTGTATCCCATCCTCTGCAAAATCCTCTGCAAATTTGACTTGGGAAATAAGTCTCAGTGGATATTTCATGCCTATTGAAAGTTGATGAATTCTAACATAGATTTTTTTAAGTCAGTTCATTCCTCTAAGACACTGATATCATATGCCCTTTATTAATTGATTCATCCCCAATTAATTAAGAAAGCACTTTAAACAAACAATTATTTCACCTTATTAGAAAGAAAATATTTGGGAGACTTGATAAACTCACGTAGCTTCTTGATATAATTCTAATATTATTGAACAAGTGACTAAGTGCATATAATGTACTTCAGAAAAGCTGTAAAGCTATGCTATTGTGTTGGTAAAATGATAATTACAAAACTTCAATGCTAACCATTAAATCTGTTCAAAGTATGTGAAATAAAATAGTGTCCCTTGAGTATTTGCAGGAAGAAAAAAAAGGCTTGTTCAGAATGAAAAATACGTATTGTGATGATTATCATTAAATGCAGACCTCTCATATTGGAAATTGCATGGCTTACCATACATTTTTATATATGGTGTATTTATATACTCTATGATTTTAAAATAAATCATCTTGATTTAAACAAGTTCTCAAATTGCCAAGTCATATTTCTTGGCAAACCTATCCTTCTTTTATGTTTTTATTATATGTAAAATAATGAAAAATTCATGGAAGATGAGTAATACATTGAAATCAGCATTAAAAAATTGTTTTAGCAAGAATATATAATTATTACTAATGCTATCTTCATTGTATTAAATCACAAGGATCCAGGAGCACAATGCAAAAATAAAAGCACAAAATGTAGAAGTTAGATTTCAAAGTTATGCTTGTGCAGTGTAGAGGTTTGAGTCATCTGCTGCTCTCTGCCAGCTCCTTCGCCCACAGGCCACCCCGCCCCACCCCACTATTCTCTCTACCCTCACCAGACTTCCAGCACTGCTGTCTGCTGCAGCTTCAGCACCCTGGCACAGAACAGTGCTAAAGTAGCTGTGCTGGAGGCTTCTGGAGGAATTAGGTAGCCCCTTCACTTTTCCCCAAGATTAGCCCCTTGATGAATTATCTAACCCTCTATGATATTGCCCACATCCCTGGAGTATGACACATTTCAAATGATTGTTTATTTTGTCTTTCTCAAAAAGTCTGTTTTGGGTTTTGATAATAATCAAATTTAAAATCAAGGCAGCAGCTTTGGAAATCAATGGTTATTTTATGTGACATTCAGTGCTCACTTCTATCAGAATCATATCTGATGTGCATTTATAAAACCAAATTGCTGGGTTTAAGAACCATAAAATTAGGATTGGAGACTGAAAATCTGCCTTCAAGATGAGATGATTTTTTTTTTTTTTTTTTTAAGATGAGATGATTTTTAAAACAAAAGCTGAAAAACCTCTCATTTGAGGCAGTTTAAAGAAAGTAAATTAACAGATAAAACAATTTCTCTCTGAAGCTTTTAAAAGAAATGTTAGCATCTCCAATGGAAACCCTATGGATCTCAGGGGTCTGATCCACAACAGACTGGGGAGTGTTTTGTTCCATTGTATTGAGGTTGCTATGAGTTGTGGTATTCATGAGTTAGGGCCAACTTAATGGCAGTTAACAAGAACAACTCAGGAAAGGTTACATTTTAGGATCAAAACAAAGTTTGGTTATTTTTTACATTCATCTGTCTACACCAGAATTTATTATTAATGTCCTTGTTTAACTTTAGGATAAATTGATCAGATATGGCAGAACAGGTGCCAATAAAATGCTATTATTAAGTGCCACCAAGTCAATTCTGACTCTTAGCAACCCTGTAGAGGGTTTCTGAGAAGCTAATGATGAGTTTGAACTGCTGACCTTGTAGCTCAATCCAACCTTGTGGTCCAGTGCTTATCCTACAGTGTCACAAAATTATTAACAAATAATAAATTGTTTCTTGAATTCATTAATGTTTGGATGACCCTAGGGTAGACTGAAGGAGGGAATTATATCAGTTTGGATATCTAGTGCCTTAAATATAACTTTATGCTAAAATTTATGAAATCACTTTCATATTTAGAAGGAAAATTCATTTCTAAAAGTCAAAGCAGGGAAACAATTGATTTAAAATGATAACTCTAAACTTGAAAATATTGATAATATATGATAATAAAATGATCTGACAATTTATTTGACAATTTGATATAATACTCTTATATATTTCATAAGGCATATTGTTTTTATTGTAGATAAAGTTATGGAACATGCATTCTGGAAAACAGTTTTATATACCTGTTCAGCGGTGGTTAGCACGAGATCAAGAGGATGGGGATATTTGTCGAGAATTGCCTATTTTAATCAAAGGACAACCTATCCTTCCAGGTAGGGTAGATTGAACTCCATGCAACACCAATAATACCTTTTTGTCTAAATGCTACAGGACAAGGAACTCAATAAATACATGCTAAGTAAATGAATAAATTCACAGACTGAATGACTAAAGACTGACTGAATGAATAAATAACTGCTCATTTCTTACTTTTCATTTCATTACTTCTACTAGTATGACAGATGCATCTAAATGTTTCTCTTGTTGGTGTTCATTTTACATGTTGGTGTTCAGGAGTAAGTTCTTGTCAACAGTTTGTCCTGTACGAAGGGCAGCTGAAATGTCTCATTTAAAACAAGAAAAAGTATTTTTAGAAGGTCATGAGAAAATTGAATGCCAACTAAATTACTTTAGGGCTAAGAAATGCGAGTCACTGTGTTCTTTTCTCACCAAGCTCCAGCTTATTCTTGAAAATGTGTCTATTTAATCAGGAAATGAAAACAATTGTTTCATGATTTCCTAAGCATTTGGCCAAAAACAGAAGCATTTCCAAATCTTGTATAAATATGACTGAGAAATAGGCTCTTAACTACTTCCCTTATAGTTAAGCAATCACTACATTCCACCATTATAATTCAGGGTGACTCTGTCATCTGTCCTTAAGGACCTTTTGCTCTTTGCTTTGGAAAAGAATGATAGAATGGTTTATGAGAATTATTAAATTGGCAGTTGCTTAATATAGGTTTTTTTCTGCAACTCAGGTTATATTTTACTAAAATTGTGATGTCTTAGCTTTCTTTAGAAATATTTAGTAATAAATATTATCTGATGACTAAGAAGAGCTTCACAATGTCATAAAATCTAACATTAGGCTCAGATACATACCAGCTGTCTTAGTTATCTACTGCTGCCATAACAGAAATATCACAAGTGGATGGCTTTAACAGACAAATAGTTTTTCTTTGAGTTTAGCTGTCTGAATTCAGGATTCCAATGCTAGAAGAAGACTTTCTTTCTGTCAGTTCTGGTGGGAAGTCCTTGTCTCCTTTCAACATCTGTGGGCCTGGTACCCCTTGAGGGGTCTCCTGGTGTCATGGCATCAATATTCCCCTGGATCTAGGAAATTCTCAGCTCAGAGACTCTGGGTCCAAAGGATGCTATCTACTCCGGAATATTTTTCTTTGTGATGCTGAGGTCCCTCTCTGTCTCTCCTTGCTTCACTTTTCTTTTATCTCTTATGATGCAGGCCATACCTGAGAGAAATTCCTCTTACATCATCAGGTATGTGACCTGAGTAAGGATATTGTATCCTGCCCTAGTCCTCTTACTACTGATTGGCTGATTACGTCAGATCACATATTTTGGGGGAATGACAAATTGAAGAGGAATGGCATCACATTCATCATTAAAAAAAAAAATTCTATCTTTTTTTTTTTTTCTTAAATATTTTATTGTGAATTATGTGATAGTTTACATGGGAGAACATTAGTTTTACATTGATTCTATCATATATCGTCTCATTGCCATGGTTACAATCCCCTCCATGCATCATCAACCAACCAAAGGGTATACCCTGCAATCCCTCCCCCATATCCCCCAGGTCTTCAGCACACAGTCGCTCTCCCTCTCTGGATCTAAAGTCTCCAGCTGCTCCATTGCTCCACGTCATCATCTCTGTCTCCATTTCAGGCATAACTGCTCTGGGTAGGGTCCCGCTCTCTGCTCTTCTCCCTTGATGGTGCCAGGGACCTCCGCTCCTAGACTGAAAAGTTAATCACTCCCCTCCTTGCTATAAAACGCTTACCTTTACATTTCCAACCCTCACAATCAGTCCTGATAACAATTATTCACTATTGTATCACCAGAGACCTGTCTGCATTTCATTGCATCAGCCCTGCCTAGACAGATTGAATACTACTCACTAGAGATTCTACCTTCTTCCAAGCCCTCTGGATCTAGGTGCCCTCTTGAAAGCTTGTAAGCCAGTCACTTCTTGCCTTTGTAGCCCCCCGCGCCCCATTTTGGGTAGCCAATGTCCAAGTTGCCCATCCCTGTCTACTCTGTGTGTGGAGGAGGTGGGAATGATCCTTGCTGTAAGGACTTGTTCCCTTTTTTGAGCTACTGCTTCCATAGTGTAGGTCAAGTTTATCAAATTGTATGAGATTACTTTTTTTTTCCTCTTCTTTTTACTTCTGGTTGAGCTCTGATCCTCCAGTCATTGAAGCCAGGTCAAGTAAAAAACATTTCTATCTTAAAGATCAATGCTGTCTGTGATAGGAGAATACACATGTCTATAAGAAGAGATGGATTCCTGGTGTGGTGCTGTAGGTTAAGCATTGGACTGTGAACCATAAAGTCAGTGGTTCAAATTCACCAACTGTTCCTGGGAAACCCCATATAGAGTTGCTATGAGTCAAAATCGACTTGATGACACTTAACAACAACAAGAAGAAAGACCAGTTGATACACTTAATTGTTCTCATGTGGAACCTGAACATAGACCAAGAGGCAGTTGTTCAAACAGAATAAGGGGACACTGAATGGTTTAAAATCAGGAAAGATGTGTGCCAGGGTTGTATTCTTTCACCACACTTATTCAATCTGTATGCTGAACAAATAATCTGAGAATATGGGTTATATGAAGAAAGATGTGGCATCAGGATATGAGGACTCATTAATAACCTGTGATATGCATACAACACAACCTGGCTTTCTGAAAGTGCTTATTGAAGAAGATCAAAGATAACAGTCTCACTATTGGTTACACCCCTATGTAAAGGAAACAAAAATCTTTACAATGGGACTAATAAATAACAGCATGATTCATGAAGAAAAATTGAAAGTGTCCAAGACTTCATTTTTCTTGGTTCCACTATCAATACATATGGAAGAAGGAGTCAAGAAATCAAATAATATATTGCATTAGGCAAATCAGTGGCACAAGACCTCTTGAAAGTAATCAGAAGCAAAGATGTAATTTGAGGGCTAAGGTGCATCTCCTCCAAGCTACCGTAATTTCAATATTCTCAGATGCATGTGAAAGTTGGACAATGAATAAAGAAGACTGTAGAAGAGATGCACTTGAGGTATGGTGTTGGGGAATAATATAAAAAATACCATGGGGTCTAACAAATCTGTGTTAGAAGAAGTACAGCCAGAATGGTCCTTTTTTAATTTTTAAAGCTTTGATTGTGAATTGAGTGTAGGTTTACAGGACAAAGCAACAGTTTTACATTCAACAAATCACTGCCATGATTACAATCCCTTCCATGCACCATCAGCTACAGTATTTTATCTATTACCTTTTTTTTAAAAAACTATACATACCACATTGGAAATATATGTTTGTTTAAATGTCCAAAGGGCACATTTTGCTAACCAGCCTCCTGTCACAGGCACACTGCCTTTCTCAGTCCATGGCCTGTAGTCCTCTGTTGTTCTGTCCCTTGATGCCATGGACTCTGCCACCATCTCTGTTATCTCAGTTTTCCCGGTTAGAATCCCTTGCTCCTTTCATGTTCTTCCCTCTTGATGATCCTAGGTCCTCTGTTTCTGACAGATTAACTGCTCTCCCCTTTATTTACACCTGTTCTACATTTACAGTGATAATTACAATTAGTCCTGATAATAATTAATCACAATTGAATCATAAAATTCTATCCCCATCATCACCACATCCATCTGGACAAGAGGAACACTATTCAGTGTTCCTCATTCGGACACTAAGCAACCTCATGAAATCTCGTAAGCCAACCACTCCGTGCCTTTCTAGCCCCCAGTTTTGATAGCTGAAGTCTAAGTTGCCCATCCTATCAACCCAGTGTACTGAGGATGCAAATGTGAGCCTTAATATGAAGCATCCTTCCCTTTCAGTTGGAATTTTGGGCAACTTTATCCATATGCAAAGGTCCAGTTCATCAAGTTGTCACAATTTACACTTGCTCCCTGTATTAAGCTTCTTTATCTTCATCTGATCAAGTTCTGGTCAGCAAGCCATCCAAGTTAGGTCAAATGAGTACTATCTACATGTTTGCATGCCTCCCCCCACTTCAGACTAGCTAACCACTTTACTCTTAACTCTAGTCCCCAGTGATTAGGTCAGTGTCCATAGGCTTGGGAGTTCCACATCTCCCTGAACTTCAAACCATCTCTCTCATCTCAAGGTCATCGGATCCCTGTGGAACACGGCTAAACTTAGCCAGTGTCTTCATTGCTGTATTTCCCCCACTTCCATTCACAAGTTGACCAGGGTGGTCACTAGTTGGCCTACAGGATGGTGGGTTTCAATCTTAGAAAGGGGTTTATTCTGATGGGCTGATTTTCTTGCCTTGATCGCCCCAAGGCAAACAGTTTGATTGATATTGTCACAGCCAAACAGTCTTTTTTTTAAAGAAGTATTTTCTGTTCCTTTAGCCATTCTAGGTTGGCCTGCATGTCTTTTCAATTGGGAATGCTCCACCTTGGAAAGTTCTGGGTGGGGCTCAGGATTCCACCTAAGGCCCCACACGTCACCAAGGCTTAACAAGTAGGCTATTTCCCTGAGCATATTCTAATACCCTTTCAGAAAATCCAATCAGGGATAGACTGAAGATGGGCTAACAAGCTTTCTGTAATCATATTTCCCAATATTCCTTTCTATCCCACTTAAATGTCTACATTACAATAGTAGGCAAGGGAAATTAATATCCACAGAACAGTCAAGCAACTTAACATGATTTGCCCATTCAGACTCTGTCTCAATCCCTATATCATAGAGCCCTGTTGTTCCAAGGCTGTGCATATATCACAGTGTGCCTCTATCCCATTTAGTCCATGCATACCTCCCTAAATTTTATCCTATAATCCCATTCATCTACTCCCTCCCCATGTCTTGTGCATTGCCTTAAACAGAATGGTCCTTAAAAGCCAGGATGATGAAATTTCATCTTTCATACTTTGTACATATTGTTAGGAGGAACCATTCCCTAGACAAGGACATCATGCTTGGTGAAGTGGAGGGTCATCAAACAAGACTCCCAATGAGATGGATTGCCACAGTGACAGTTGCAAAGCC